TAGCTAATCCCCTGCGTCTGCCCCACTCATTGCGCGCGTGATCTCTCATTAAGACATTGCGAGGCTTAAGCCCTTCGGATTGTACATCATTAGTCATATAAGGAGATTTGCCACCCTTCCCCCTACTCCCCTCCCCACTTACTCGCGCCTCATCCCTTCTCTCGCGCGTCTCTTTTATTTTCATAACTGCGATGACTTTTCTCTCGTTATTTTCAGAAATGCAGCAGCAGACTGACGGCCATGAATCACAGCCGATGCGCATCAATTAAGCAGCTTCCGTCCATCACAGAGAGACTCAAGAATCTGTATTTAAAAGCGGACATTTTTATGTTGCCAACCATCACTGGTCCCTGAAGTAACTGTGCCCTGGTTGCTACAGCTTTCTATTTTTCTGGGTGGCAAGCGGGGAAAATGTGTTTAGTTGTAGAAGCACCGGTCTTCGTCAACACTTTACATCTCTGGGTTTCCCCGTTGCTCAGCATCTAGGCCACTTCAGGTCGCCAACCCAAGAAACAGAAAATGTCCAGTAAGTAGTATGCTACTCATATTCTTTGGTCGGACACCTTAATCCTTAAGTCGATGGGCATTTCAGCTACATTGTACCTACTTATCTGAATGGCAGGCAAATGGGCTTGTACCCACGCAGGAGTGAATAAGTACACAGCCCAAAGTACAAAGTTTGAAGTAACGTGGCGGGGTTAAAGAGGGGTCTTGAAACCACGGTGAACGCTGTTTGGGTGAGTGTGAGCACTGAGCGGCGCCGCCCCACCCACTTACCCTCTCCCGTCGGATTGAGCCGCACCGTGCCGCCGCTGTCAAGAAGTGTGCAGCCAGTGAAAGGAGCATCGGACAGAATCAGTCGATCAAACAGTCCGGGCACGTCCTGCAGAATGAGTTCACGTCACTCATTGCCCGGCAGGCAGGCCCGGCCCCGCCACGCTACGCCGGGACCACGCCACGCCCGTTCGGAAGGGAGAAAAAGGGGTTCCTCTTTTTTTCCCTCTCGCCTTATTCTCCCTTCCCCGTCTCTTTTGGGCCCGGCCGCCCGCCGAGGCCTCCTCTGTCTTTCATCCTCCGACGCCCCCCTGGCGCGGCGGCCCAACCCGAGGCGAGGCCCGCGAATGAAGACGTTACTTTGACTTTGTCTTTCTAATTATTTTGTATTCAGGTCCGGATGGTCCCCCCCTTCCCCCCTCACGCCCTCGCAGATCTGCTCATCCTCCTCACTTTGTTTTGAGGCTCTCGCTGGGGATGAGGACGAGGCCCCCTGCCGCTCCGGCCTACATATACACAGTCTAAGCTACACTCTCACAAATTAAAATTACGACCATTTTCTTCAAAGAGGAAAAAATCATAGTCAAAAGATATTAGGGGGCGGGCTCGACACAATCAACTCGCCTGTCCGTCCGCCAGTCTGTGCGCCTGTCCTTCTGTCCGCCCAACCGTCAAGACCTCTCGGATGCTACCGTCGCTGCCGCTCGTCTTTTGCGCATTTTTCTCCGCCTGCCAGTCATCTGCTTCCTCCAGCGACAAAGAAAATTAGAGCGGGGGGGCTGCCGGACGGAGCCGGAAATAGGCTCCATTAGGACCACACAGGCCGGCTGCTGAACTGCCACCCGGTCCCTTCTGGGAACTTCCAGGACCTTCCAGGACCTCGCCTCCTCCCCCTTTTCCCCCGCAGTCTAGTCTCGGACAACCCGAAGAATCCAGATCTTGAATCAAGTACCTTTACAAGTACCTACACAAGTGTATACACCAGGTAAGCGGGCTTCCCTATCGCCCCTGTCTGTGGTGCCTTACGGGCCGCGAGCAAGTAGGCAAACTGACCGCACATGCGGTTACATGATAACCACCAAGTCCAAATACAAGTACGTATACAAGTACACACAAAAGTACATGTAAACGTAGATACACAAGTACATATCGATTACGCCTGATGCAGTGAAAAAACAAAAGGTGTGACTTAGTGCCTTTTATGTTCCCAAATATTAATGCCCTTAGAAAGGCACGAAAGTGTCGTAAGGCACTAAAATTTAGCACCTTTGGGGAATTTTAGTGTCTTTCCAGGATTGCAAATCTTTGAGAGCCTCTGTACAGACCAGTACAGACACGAAAGTCAAAAACACTCTAAGAAGGGTGTTGATTCCTGCATTTGTTTTTCCTGTGTACGGTACGGGTACAGACTCTGGAAAACTCCATACCATATGTGCTCTGTCTAAAAATGAAACCCTGCATTTTCGGGGCACACCGCCCTTTTCACATAAACCTCGATCTGCGATATGGTTGCAGTCGGTCCAACAGTCCCGCGTCCGCGCCGGAGGGGTCTCTCCACTACACTCCACACCGCCTCGGCGCGCGATCAGTGCGTCGCGCGCCCCGGTCTGTAGCGCCACTAATGAAAGCAACGGCAACCCGGTCAAAAAAATGAATGGGGGTGTTTAAAACCGGAAGGGACAAGCAGCGGATATAAAATGCTCATAGAGAGGTCCCGCAAAGCAGCATTTTTTTTTTTTCAAACAAGAATGAAAAAGACTTTTGAAAAACGCGCGCGAAATGAAGGGTTGGGAAGCGAAGCGGGTTATGCTTGGTGGAGGGGGCGGACGGCGGCGGTGGACCCCAGAGACACACAGACAGTTCATGCGGTTGCTCGCCAGATTCATCCCAGCGGACGCCACGCTGCGCCACGCCACTTGACAGGGGAGGGGGTCTCTGTACCCAGGTTTGCCCCCCTCTGCCCCATGTTGGGGGCGACCGCCCTTGCGAGCGGCTTCCCCCCGAGGGTGGGGCGTGGGGGGGTTTGTAGGGCCCTCGACGCCGCTGCAGGGCCGGTGGCGGTACAGTGCGGCCCGGTACAGCCGAGGTACAGGCGACCCCCCCCCCCTACCCTTTTCCGACTAGATTTTAATGTTGTTTGGCCATTACTGTATTGAGTTTCCCTGGCAGAATAGCACAGCCCGCCCCACCATGTGCGTGCTTCGCCTGCACCAAACGTTTTGCCGGCCGGCCCCCGGATCTTGCAAAATCTTGTTTACGAAATAATGCAGACGTAAAATCGCATGTTTACCGGAGGGCAGAAAACTGAAATAATGATGTTTACGATTACACTGTAACGATTTTGGAGAAAATTCTGACATTTTACCCCGGGGTGGACGGGAGAACCTACCTTTGGAAATCAAGGTATGCCTTACGGGCGGTAGGGTGTTTCATTCTCGACATTTAACCACTTTGCGCGGTGGGTTCCCTATCTCGGAAATGAGCAAGCGGTGGGTTTTTAAAAAGTTGGCCCCATGTCCTTGCAAACAAAACACCGATACCTCAAATCCGACGTGAGGAACTTACCGCGCACAGCGCTCAAAAGTTGTCGATGAAACACCCTAACGGGCGGCCCCCTTCAGTCAAGGCAAGGCGACCCCACACACTCCCCTCCCTAGGCCCGCGCCGCAGCCCGTTGTTCTCACCTGCCTCAGCTCCGTGGCGTATCGCACATCGCGTCGCCCGTAAAACAAGTGCTTATCGCATTGTAGAACACAATTAGATAATGCACATTAATCCACCCCAAGCAGATTCGTATAATTATTTTAGGACATTTGCATTTCCTTTGTGATAACGAGAAGACGGTCTCAAGGGCTGCGGGGTGAGAAGCAGGGGGAGGAGAGGGGG